CAGGCTTTATTCATCCGCTTATCTGTGCACAAGATGGAAGCTAAAAAAGTTTTCGTCGCCTTTTATAGAAAATTTCAGGAATTTAGAGTACCGTACAATGATTCTTAACGAAACAAACAAATGTAATCACAAAACAGAAATGAATGACAAGAACGAAAATAGTATTGCCAGACGATCACGAAATGACAGAAAATAAACTTAACTAAGAGGTTACAGCTTCAACATCCTGCCCGGTCGAGTCGGTTGACTCGAAATCCTCAGGCTCCAGTAAGAGGCACAGCTTCTGAACAGCTCGAGTCATGCATCCGCCGGAAGTTCTTAGTGTGACATTGCGAACCGCCCCGTCAGCCCCAGGATGTACAGCCACGACGCGACCCATGCGCCAGTGAGTCGGAGGCAAGTTCTCATGCTTGACGAGTACGATATCATTGACCCTTATGTTAGTGGTGCGCCGATGCCATTTGTGGCGCCTCTGCAGAGTGGTCAGATACTCCTCACTCCACCGCTGCCAAAACACTTGTTGAACCTGCCGTACCCATTGCCATTGTTTCAGTCGGTTGTTTGGAATATGTTGAATGTCTGGCTCCGGGACTGCTAGCAGCGGAGCCCCAATCAGAAAATCACCAGGCGACAGCGCGAACTTCTCTTCCGGGTCCTCGTACAGGGGGGTAATTGGGCGTGAGTTCAGGCATGCTTCTATCCGGGTAGCCAATGTCTGCCATTGACTATGCCACATGATTTGCGAACCCACACAGCGGACCAAGTGATGCTTTGCCGACTTAACAGCCGCCTCCCATAGCCCACCTTGATGCGGCGCACTAGGTGTAATGAAGTGCCAATTGGTACCCGAGTCTGCTAACCTTCGCTGGTTGTTTTCACTATGCCAGGCGGCAAGGTCTTCGCGTAGGAGTCTGTTAGCACCAACAAAGGCAGTGCCATTATCACTGTATAGGTCGCGGCAGGGACCTCGTCGGCTGACGAAATGGGTGAAGGCGTCGAGGAACGCTTGTGCGGATAGATCATCCACTACTTCGATGTGCACGGCCTTGGTGACCATGCATACGAAGATGGCTAGGTACGTCTTGATGACCGTGCGAGAGCGCTTTGTGCCGACCCGCAGTGTAAAGGGCCACAGTAGTCTACCCCAGACGACACAAACGGCCTCGCGGGTTTGATCCTCTGCCCGGGTAGTGGAGCCATTTGCTGCTTGAACACCTCTCCCTTATGACGGCGGCATAATACGCACTTGTGGATAAAACTCTTGACCGCCTGCCTGGCATTCAGGACCCAAAACCGGCGACGGAGGGTATGTAGCACGAGTTGCGTTCCTCCATGTAGCGTTGCCTCATGGGCCTGACGTATTAAAAGCTGCACCAAGGGAGTCGACTTCGGCAATATGATCGGGAATCGCTGGTCATGTTCCAGTTCGGCCTTATGTATTCGCCCTCCGACCCGAAGGATGTGGTTCTCATCTAAAAATGGATTCAATGAGAGTATTCTAGTGCAGGAGGACAAACCTGAACGGGACTTCAACTGCCTAATCTCAGCGGCAAAGTGTTCTCCTTGCTCTCGACGGATAAGCGTGTACAGGGCGTCATCTAGTTCCTGGGCGCTGACCACAGGTTGACGAAAGTGCCGACGCCCTTTCAACCAGCGCAGCATGATGGCCACTGTACCCAGCAGGCGTTGAATTGAACTAAAACGGGTGGTCAATAACATAATGTGTCCATCTGGGCGACGGGTATTCAAAGGCTGCGCGAGGAGAACCATTGACTGACATGTACTTCGCCTTTCGGCAAGGAGCTCAACCGACTCGTCCTGGCTGAGAGGGATCTCGGGCTAGTTTGAGGGAGCGCTGCCTAGCTCATCAGGTCCATGCCACCAAAGCGGGTGAACTAAGAGTTCTTCGGGTGTAATGCCTCTGCTGGCACAATCAGCAGGGTTCTGTGCTGAACGAACGTGGTACCATCGGTCGGGGGAAGTCAGTTCTTGTATCCTGCGAACCCGGTTGGATATGAACGGCTTAAGTGTTGTTGGATGCTTCTTCAACCAGCACAAAACGATCGCCGAGTCCGACCACAAATAGTATGGAGCATCCATTAAGCCCAGTGAGTCCCGAACATTCTGAATAGTTTCAGCCAACAGTAGTGCTGCCGACAGTTCCAGGCGGGGTATAGTAGCGCCCTTCAGGGGTGCCACCTTCGTGCGTGCGGTCAGAAGTGAGATGTGTGCAACATCGCCTACGTCGACGGTCTTCGTATAGATAACGGCAGCATATGCTTGTGAGCTGGCATCGCAAAAGCCGTGCAACGTTGTCTGAACACGTTGAATCATGCCCATCCAACGGTCGATGCGGATCTTATTGAGCCCCTCCAGCTTGGAGCGGTACTCGAGCCATCCGTTGCGAAGATCGTCAGGTAGTGGTGAGTCCCACGATAGCCCCGCAGCCCACATCCTCTGGATGAACAGCTTTCCAGTTACAACGACAGGTGATAATAACCCAGCGGGATCAAAGAGACGCGCCACCTCGCTAAGTACTCGCCTCTTCGTGGGAGCCTCGGATGATTGGTCTAGGTCGACTTGGAAAAATAGCTGATCCGTCACTGCGTCCCATCTTAGGCCTAAGACGGAAGCCACACCAGAATGGAAGGTATAACTGGAAAGAGACGATTCATTAGATAAGTAGCTCATCACCTGGCCATCGTTGGAGTTCCATTTTCTTAGCGTAAATTTGCCCGCGGATAAAATAGTATCTACGTTTCTAGCCAGTTCCACTGCATCGGTAGCGCTCTCACAACTGGTGAGGAAATCATCGACGTAAAACGAGGTTAGAATTGCATCTCGAGCGAGGACCGCCTGCCGCCTATCCGGAACCGAACCGTAATTATCATAAGCGCATTGCTGCAACGTGCGCACTGCGTTATATGGACTGCATGCCATGCCATATGTAATGGTCTTCAATCGATATATGCCAATGTCGTCGGCCGGGGACTCGCGCCAAATAATCCTCTGATAGTCTCGATGCTCCGGCGCAACCAACACTTGCCTAAACATTTTCTCGATGTCGGCAGTTATCGCCACTCGAAAACGTCGGAAACGAAGAAGTATGCTGCTAAGCGAGTCCTGAAGCGCTGGGCCCACCAGTTGAATATCGTTTAAGGAGACTCCCGTGCTGGTCGGCGCCGAAGCATTGAACACCACGCGGAATTTGGTGGTAACCGCATGGTGAGGAATATAGTAGCAATTGCTATGGGGATATGATGGTTCGACTCGCTCCATATGTCCGAGTGCTTCGTACTCCCGCATGAATGCCACATAGTTTCCCTAAGGCCGGGATCCACTGCCAAGCGACGCTCTAGTCTACCGAATTGGCGTGCAGCCAGTGCATATGAGTCACCAAGTTTGGGTACATTTTGTCGAAGAGCTAGGTGGACAATGTAACGGCCGTCTGCAGTGCGGCTATGAGTAGCTTCGAAGATCTGGGCACAGTCGTCGACGTGTTGATTGTCAGCAATCGCAATTTCCTCCATCTCCCAAAATCTGTGTAGCAGTTCTTCTAAACGGACGTCATCCTCACCCGGTAACGCGCTCAGTGCGAGCGATGATACGTTCGAAGTAAAAGACACTGCTGCTGGGCCAAATACCACCCAACCAAAGCGGGTACGCTGGGCAAAAGGTTCGTCTGGTCGTCCACCGATGACATCACCCTCTAGGACTCGCCCCCACACGTCCGCGCCGATGAGAACGTCGATAACTCCAGGCGTCCCAAACCGATCGTCCGCCAACTCTAGCCCTCTCAAGTACGGCCACTGGTTCACGTCAATATTCACCGTCGGAGTCGGAGAAGTAATGGACGGTAAAACCAAGGCCTCAATTTGCATTTCAAATGTAGTTTTCGTTGACCTCAACGTGAGTGTAACGCTGCCCTTCACTTGGGTATTGACGGCAGCCCCTACCCCTTCTACCATCAGGTCACATTTCCGTCGGTATACCTGCAAGGAGTTTGCTAGGCGATCCGTCACGAAGCTAACCTGCGATCCAGGATCGCATAAGATACGAGCCACACGCTGAACCGATGCTTCTCCAAAGGCATACGCACGCGCTGTTGCTAGGAGGGTGATCGGCTGATATCTGGCCGCGTGGGCTCTCGCAGGTGCTGCTAGTCATGCAGCTGAAGTTGTTTGGACCTTACCAGGTGCAGTATTTGATACGGGTGACGTAGACGTGGATTCAGGCGAAGCTATGTTGGTGAACCTCTCGCGGCATAAGATAGTATTGTGCTTACGGCCACAATTCCGGCAACTTCCCGATGGACACTGTCTGGACGAATGGCCAGCACGTAGGCAATTATAACACAACCTCAAACTCTTAACTGCTTCATAACGTTGTTCAATATTCATAGCTGACAGCGCTGGACACTTAGCAATTCGATGCGTAGCACCACAGTGCGCACACTGCGCCCGCTCAGCGCTAACCACATGCGACTTCACCGATCGTTGCTGCCGAGGCGCCACTAGAACGGCCGATGGTTCAGGCGATAGACTATGAGCACGCCTTTCCAAAAACTTCAGCAAATCATCCAGCCGTGGAATCTCGGTGGTGGTACACTTCATACACCAGTCGCGCTTGGTTACAGGCGGAAGCTTGGACACAACAATAGGCACAGCTAATGCATCCCATTGATCTACAGGGATCTCCATGACCCGCAATGCTCGCAGCGACTCATGCACAGTGTCAACAACGGCCAACAATGCTTGCGATGACTCCTGGGTGGCTACCTTTAAGTTGAGAAAACGCGACACGTGTATTTCTGCCAGATGTTTCTTGTTGTCGTAACGCTCTTTAAGAGCCTTCCATACTTCTTGATAGCCACCCGAATATATCCCTCCAATTAATGGCACTGTGGACGCGTTAACTGCTTGGCGAAGTTTACCCAACTTGAATGCTTCCGGGTACGCCGAGTTATGGACAAGCGTCTCAAACGCATCTTTGAACGCCAACCATTTACACATATCCCCGTCAAATGGGGGAATAGCCAACGGATCCAGTTTAAGATCTACCGAACAGCCCTCCAAAGTCGTAGTAGGCACGTTGCGCGCACCCTCACTGGCGTTGGAATCTACCGTTGACGTCGCAATAAGGCGGTGGAGTGTGCTACATGCCTCACCGTAAAGCTCCTCCACAGTTTCCCATAGCGAATCATGCGTAACCATTTCTGAGGGTGCCGCTTCTCCAACAAGATGATTATGGTTATCAACGAATCTCCCAAAATGTGTCTCGATCGACTTCAGCTCCTGTTGCAGTTGGAATACATCGCGACCATCATCGCCACCATCTCTCACACGGGCATGTATGCGTTTTATTGCCTTAACAGCAGATGCACGCAAGTTGAGTTCCGCCATGCCTCAAAAACACAAAATAGAAATTTATTTGTCCTCACAGGAGGCACCAAAATGTTACTGATTAAAACACGCAAGTTGACAATTTACCAATACAGGCTTTATTCATCCGCTTATCTGTGCACAAGATGGAAGCTAAAAAGAGTTTTCGTCGCCTTTTATAGAAAATTTCAGGAATTTAGAGTACCGTACAATGATTCTTAACGAAACAAACAAATGTAATCACAAAACAGAAATGAATGACAAGAACGAGAATAGTATTGCCAGACGATCACGAAATGACAGAAAATAAACTTAACTAGGAGGTTACAGCTTCAACAATTTTAACTAATCAAATGGTGAATTTTTTCTCCCAATCCTAGATAGTATGCGTATCTATTAATCCATTAAGCCATTAAATTTAGATAACACGAAAACCACCCCAATATTATACGTATTTTGACAATTAGATTAGCGTTGCTTGAAGATTAAGAAATGACATTTGAATCAGGTGGCTATATTGAAATGGCTAAACACACATTAAGCCGGAGCTCCATACCATGTTTTTCAAGCGTTGTGGCACAGGGGTCAAATTTCAGATTACCTTATGAAAACGTCTTAACAGACTGCAATCGGGACCAAAATTTACATATGATATCTTCGACTTTATTAGTATCTATTTAGGGTGTTAAATGAAGAAAAAAAATTTCTTTTGAGTCTGATTTCTGTTATGATAATATTATATTTGTTGCAAGTTGCATGTGAATGCAGAAACGTATTCATGTATATTTTTTTTTATAAAATTAATAAATTAATATAGTTAAATTATATTAAATGTACTTTTATATTAGTTAGAATTGCTGATTTGCATTTCTGCATGACCATTTGTTAAATATAATTTATTCAGTAGTTAATGTTGCTAAAAACTTAAAAAGCATCTGTTCAAGTTCGCTTCTTGTACGAGTAGATATTATATTATGTAAATAGTAAAAATGCAAAATGATAAAATTGGTTTTTTCACATACTCACTTTAAAGATGGACGCAAAAAAATGTACAAACAATGCACTTGTTAACTTCAAAGTTGTTTTTGACTTTTACTGCAATACTCGTAGATATTATTTGTAAATAATAGTTCTGGAGTCAAATGCAAATCCATTTCCCAGGCATGCGCAAATGGATGCTTGTACTACATACAGATGCGATCATGATACAAAAAAGAAGGTAGTTCCATTGTCACTTTTTCGTCGCCATCTTAACAACTTGACAATTAAGTAGATTGACATTTCGTGCTACCGTATGCAATATCTAAAATCCTCCAAATTTCATTATTAATTTTCAGAGCTGTAAAATGATTGAATCAATAGGATCTGCATTCACTCGACATTCTTTTCAAAATTTTGATTGTTTGTTTGTATAAAAAATAGCCTCATTCCTGAGTGGCTTAAAATGCTTGAAAACAAATAAACTGTGTTGTGTTTTTGAATGGTAGATTGACATTCAGTATGGAATGTGAATGTAACAGAAGCATTCGCACACACACATGATTGTATATTTAAAATGAATGCACATGTTTTTACCATTCAGTACTAATACTTTTTTCCCAGGGTTGATATATTTTATACTTTAAAGTTTAAACATATCTGGAATTGAAAAAAAACATATATGTATACGTATGTATGTATTTCAACGCGTATGTATAGACGTTTTCTGATATTAACCCATGGCTAATGACTGGTGCGAAATCAGTCCAAACAAACATCGCAACCGTCGAGCACAAAGGACACATCTTGATACACACATTTACATATATTAGATTCGAAATTAGTGAACTGTATATAGAAATATAAAACAGTGTCAATAGAATTGAGTTTTTAAAACTCTTGCTTGAAAAAACTTAAGAATTTCATTACCTGCATCTGTCCCTTCGTATTATAGACTTTTAGAACTACAAAAGGTCTATTCTGCACGTAACCGAAGATTTTGTAACCGGAAAATTTTATCACCAAAAAATGTTACCTGTTCATGTCACCGCGATTCTAGGAACGTTGGTAATGCTATATATTCAGCAATTCAGCCATGAAGAATTGTGGAAATTCTGGCAATGCATATTTCACGGGGCGGGGCAATATTTTGTTACCAGCTTATGAGATGGTAACAAAATTTACCGGTTACAAGAGTACACCAATTGCGAAAAGGGTTTAAAAATTGATTGTAGACATTTTTTCGCAGAATATATGTATATATAAATTTAATTTATATGATTTTTTTCCTATTAATTTTTTTCTTCAGTTTTCAAATTTGAAAACTTTCAAAACGAAATTTTATAAGGGTTCTTGTTTTCTTTAAAGAGGGGTTGAGGAGTTACATTGTAAAATTTTTTTTATTAATTATTAATTAAAAGGTGTACTATTTAAACATATTTACTACGCACTTCTGCAGTAGGGTACTATAACTTTTCTCACGTAACGGATATTTGGAACAACCAAAATCGAGATAGATATGTACTACATTTATGTACATATGTATGTATATACCGTAAATGCCCAGAAGAAAAAGAGAAGTTGATTAGTCCATCTCCGTCTGTGTACACGATAACTCTAGGAAAAGTTGAGATATCGGAAGAAAATTCGGTACGCGGGTTTCCCTTTATGCAGGGCAGAAGCGTATTGAAAATACAAAAATTAAACAATAACCTGGTCCCTCCTATAAAACGGTAATTTCAGCCCTTCAGGTTAATAAAGATTGTAGAAAACGATTTTTGCTTGTGTGGCGTCCCGTTTGATTCCCAAAATTGGAAGGAACTGATTTTTTCAAATTGCAAATCCTAATAAATAAATTATTTCTAAAATAGGTTACAGCAGACAATATTTAATCATTTTTTATTAATATACCGATACCTGATTGGAAGATCGACCTATCTCGGCAGCCAATTCAAAAACGCCATAACTCAGAAAACTTTTTAAGAAAGTCCTACTTCAGAATTTGGTTGAAGAACGCCCTATCTCAAATGAAAATATATTGAAAATTTGCCGAGATAGGGCGTTTTTTAACCGCATTCTGAGATAGGGCGTTCTTCAACAAAATTCTGAAATAGGGTGTTCTAGAACAGTTTTTTGAGATAGCGAGTTTTCGAACTGGCTGCCGAGATAGGTCGATCTTCCACTTAGGTGTCGATATGTAGTTTTGATGTTAACAAACAAACCAAAACTTGGGTTAAAAAGCGTGCTCAATGAAATGGGTATAAATTCTTAAATATTGCACTTTCGGAAAAGGATGTTAATGAAAATAGAGACCAACGAATTTTGTTAAATATCTTTTTTTT